ATATATATATATATATATATATATATATATATATATATATATATACATACATACATACATACATACATACATATACACATACACACACACACATATAAGTTTTGCTTATTGATTAGTAAATGAACTAGTAACAATAAATCAATTAGTAAAATAGTAAATCAATTAGTAAAGGGACGTGGTGGCTCGGTGGCTAAGACGCTGAGCTTGTCGATCAGAAAGGTTGGCAGTTCAGTGGTTTGAATCCTTAGCACCACACAATGGAGTGAGCTCCCATTACTTGTTCGAGCTTCTGCCAACCTAGCAGGTTGAGAGCATGTAAAAATGTAAATAGAAAAAATATGGACCACTTTGGTGGGAAGGTAACAGGGTTCTGTGCGCCTTCAGCATTTAGTCATGCCAGCCACATGACCACGGAGATGTCTTCAGACAGTGCTGCCTCTTCGACTTTGTAACAGAGATGAGCACTCAGCACTGCCCCCTAGAGCCAGAAATGACTAGCATTATGTGGGAGGGGAACCTTTACCTTTTATTGATTAGTAACATTAATACATGTTAAAAAAATAGATTTGCATTGATGAAATAATCTGGCAAAGCAGCATATTGATCTCAAAAGCTTAATATTCTGGCTTGCTTGGTGTGACTCCCAGATGTACTTTAGGACAAGGCATGCAGGAGGAAGTAAAACCACAGGCTTGCAAATATTGCTAAAGTCTTACTAAAGTAGAACATAAGAATTTCCGGGATGACAGTTATATTATGAAAAATTGTGGTTAACCTATGCACATCTACAGCTATATGTATGTACACAGAAAGATGGGTGGCAAACAAATTTAATTAATAAACAAAATTTAAAAAAATAAGTGCTATAGGAGTCTTAACTATAAAATGGAAAGGTGACATCTTGATTGTGAGCTTTGTGGTTTGGGGGTATAAAAGACTTGGCTATAAAAAATGAGATTACAAGGGTTTTTAAGGAAACCTCCCCATGTTAAACAGCTGTGGTGTCACAGTGGTGAGAATGCCTAACTTTGCCCACAGGAAAGAGTTCGAACCTGAAGAGCTCAAGTTTGACTCAGCCTTCCATCCTTCTGCGATGAGGACCCAGATTGTTGGGTGGGGGATCAATATGCCAATATTGTAAACCAGCCAGAGAGTGCTGTAAAGCGCAATGGAGCAGTATATAAGTCTAAGTGCTATTGCTACTGTATGTCCTCCTACACAGAATAAAGTTGTGTTGTAGGGTGCCTGGTGGTCTCTGAGTTTGGTGGTTTTCTTGCAGACATTTCATTACCAAAGTTGTGTTGCATCAATCGTCACCTTAGTGTGTTCAATTGGGCTCCAACTAACTGGTCAAGGACCCAGTCTCGGTTCAGGACCACAATGGCACACACCCTATTAAATACCTTCCCCTAGAGATTAGATGGCCCCATCGCCTTTCGTGATTCCTTGAAAACATTATGCTCAATCCTACAATATACGTTGTGCTTTTATTTCTCTGATTGTAAGCCACCTAGAGTCACATAAAGTGATACAAGGGACTATATAAATTGAGCAAATCAGTCAATCAATGAAATTTGGAGATATTATGAACTTCCAATCAGAGGGAGAGAAACAGGGAGGGAGAAGTTCATGGCTCAATTTCAAAAACCCCTCAAAGATCAGGAAGAATTGGGGAATGAACAAAACAAAAGGTTCTTTGACAATGGCAGTGTAAAGATTAGCTTATCAAGGACCCAAGTATGGCAATTTTCCACATGAAATTTTCAACCTGCCAACATTCAATCAAATCAATTTGTCTCAGTGTAAAATATAAATTCTGGCAAATAAAGGGATAGAGATAATGATGGTGTCCCATTCAATTGTGTCCAGTTCTTGGCAAATAAAATACAGTTGCTTAATGATCTGGGTTCTTCCTCTTATTAATTCCTGGTTCCGCCTTTTCTCAATCAATCCTATTCTCATAGCACAAGGGTTTTTCAAACTTGGCAAGTTTAAGACTTGTGGACTTCAATTCCCAAAATTCCTGAGCTATAATGACTGGAGGAGGAATTCTGGGAATTGAAGTCCACAAGTCTTAAAGCTGTCAAGTTTGAAGACCCCTGTCAAAGTGACTTATGACCATTTTTCACACTTACGACTGTTGCAGAATTCCCACAGTCATGAAAGGCCAGAAGAGGAGATGCATGCCTCGATGTGAGTGATATTGAGTTGGCCATGCCCAGCCAATAACATGACCACCAAGCCATGTCCACCCATGACCACCAAGACTAAGCCACGCCCACAGAACCGGTGGTTAAAAAATTTGAATCCCACTCCTGGCCATGGGTGAAAACTAATCTAGGAGAGAAACCACCAAGAACTCAGGAGAAATTTTCTGACAATGAAAACAATCAACCAGTGGAACAACTTGCCTTCAGAAGTTGTGAATGCTCCAACATGGGAAGTTTTAAAAAAATGTTGGATAACCATTTGTTTGAAGGGTGTAGGGTTTCCTGCCTAAACAGAGGGGTGGACTAGAAGACCTCCAAGGTCCCTTCCAAGTCTTCTATTCTATTCTATTCTATTCTACTCTTTCTCTACCATCTCTCTTCAATGCTAACAAAACCCTAGTATTTAGAAGATAGTGTCCTCTACATGAGGTAGCAAGATTCATTAGATTGCATTAACCTTTTAGAAATCATGTGGTCCACTCAAATAGCCAGATGGTTGCCATTGCTGCCTTCCACCTGGCCAAATCCTTGCTGTCTGAGGAGATAGCCTACCGAATCACAAGGTGGACAAACACAAATGTAGAATAACACCCCTTTTTCTGTCTTGCTTTCATTTCCCAACTGCTTTCCTAACTTCAACCCCAACTTGTGAGTAATTAGGACATATTCATTCTCGTCGTATCATACCTGCTTCTCTCATCGGCACTAGATTAGACAGGATATTAGCTGACGGTCTGTCCGTCCAGGAAAATAAGGTTGTCCTTCTGTTGGCTCCTCGGTGCTCTCCTGCTAGAGTGTGTGTCAGGGAAATAACCTGTTGCCTCCTCTTCTTCTCTTATCTTCTGCTTGCTCTCCTCCCCTTCAAGCTGCAGGCGTGTCTGTGTGAAGGCAAGCCTCTCCCCCTAACAAGCCAAGCTGCGGATTTCCAAAGTTGGCAAATCACCAAGACCAGACACAAGGTGGAAGGCAACTGGTACAAAGAGATCAGGACACACAATCTCCACAACTATACAAGTGGATGTTTTCTACATCATCTTCAAAAGACACCCCAAATAGGGGGGGGCGTGGGGGCGTGTACAGGTAGTCCTCGAGGTAGCCCTCGATTTGTGACCACAACGAAGCTCAACATTTATGTTGCCCAATGAGAAAGTTGTTCGGTCAGCTTTGCCCCCCTTCTACAACCTGTCTTGTCACGGTTGTTAAGTGAATCACTGCATTTATTAACTTAGCAACACGGTTCATTGTCATGAATATGAACCAGTTGCCAAGCAGCCGAATTTTGATCATGTGACCACGGGGATGCTGCAAAAGTCGTAATTGTGAAAAACGGTCATAAGTCATTTTTTCAGTGCTGTTGTAATTTTGAACAGTCACTAAATAAATGATTGTAAGTAAAGGACTACCTGTACCCTAGAGGGGACGGTTAAGATGTCTATGAGAATTCCAGCGACCAGAAAATTCAAAGACCTGATTCTTATTTTCTTAGCACGTAGTTGCAATTCTGCACATCTCATTTTTTTTTTCCTATAAAGAATGGGATATTGTCCTACTTTCACAATCAATCTGCTCAAATCAGATTCTGCTCTGTCCAAAAGTTCAAGTGTATTTACTTTCCTTCTGTAAACATTCCCCGATCATTCACCAGTGTGGATTTTGGCTTCTATGGAATTCAATGTTGTCCTTAATTACGTAAAAAAAACCTTTTTTTATTACATAAAAAATGAATTAGAAATGTGAGTGGTGTAACGGGGTTTATTTTTGGCACTTCCAAGCAAAGTTTTAACGTGTTGTGGCTTAGTCACACGAATGAGGATCAAACTGCAAAACAAATATATAAAAGAGAAGTAGATGCTTTGAGAGGAAGACTGGTTGGACAGAATTGACAAGATTCTGGAAAAGAGAGAGTTTAAATACTAAAAAACAATGGTTGAAGAAGAGGAGCCATAGGGTGGAAGCAATGGTTTGCAGGGACACAAGGAAATGAAGAGACACTGGGCAGATGTGCACTTTCTTCTTGCACACTCACTAGTATAAAAAGAAGAGCAGAAAGTGCTTCTTGAATGCGGAAACAGATGAGGCTGTCCTCCTCCTGTATCCAGCCCATGGCAAATACACCCCATGTCCATATTTCCGAGATGAACTTTTAAAAAGTGTTGCTTTCTGAGCAGGACTACCTTCAGAAAATAGAACGTCCTCAACATGACCACAATTGGGGAAAAAGAGTTTCCATTGCTAAGCAAAATCATGTCTTTTATGATCTTTTTTGCCATTGTTGTTAAATGAATCCCGGCACTTAAATAAATCACATTAAGTGAAGGGAAATTAGTTTTTATAAAAAGTGAACATGGTAACCACATAAGTATCCAGATGGATTCGTAATCGCACTCAACGTGTTGTCCTCAATGGAACTGCATCTACATGGTGGGATATATGCAGTGGGGGTACCCCAAGGCTCTGTTTTAGGCCCAGCACTTTTCAACAGCTTCATCAATGTCTTGGACAAGGGGATAGATGAGGAATGCATCAGACTGTCAGGCGACACCAAGCTAGCAGGACTAACCAACACTCCAGGCTTAATATACAGAAGACCCTTGACAGACTGGAACACTGGGCGCTATCTAACAAAATGAAATTAAATGATGAAAAAGATAAGGTTCTACATTTAGACAAGAAAAGAAAATTCACAGGTACAGTATATGTGGTACCTTGCTTAATACTAGTAACTGTGAGAGGGATCTTGGAGTACTAGTGGACAATCACTTAAATATGAGCCAGCAGTGTGCAGCAGCTGCCAAAAAAGCCAACACAACAGATAAACAGATAAACAGAGTTGGAAGGGACCTTGTAGGTCATCTAGTCCAACCCCTCATCCAAGCAGGAGACCCTACACCATTTCTGACAAATAGCAGTCCAATTTCTTCTTGAAAGTCTCAAGTGATGGCGCTCCCACAACTTCCAAGGGCAAGCTGTTCCATTGGTTGATTGTTCTCACTGTCAGAAAGTTTCTCCTTATTTCCAGGTTAAATCTCTCCTTGTTCAGTTTCCATCCATTATTCCTTGTCTGGCCTTCGGGTGCTTTAGAAAATAGCTTGACCCCTTCCTCTCTGTGGCAGCCCCTCAAATATTGGAAGACTGCTATCATATCGCCCCTGGTCCTTCTCTTTACTAGACTAGCCATGCCCAGTTCCTGTAACTGTTCTTCTAGTTCTAATTCTAGGCTGCATAAACAGAGGGATAGAATCAAGATCACGTGAAGTGTTAATACCACTTTTTAATGCCTTGGTAAGGCCACACTTGGAATACTGCATCCAGTTTTGGTCGCCATGATGTAAAAAAAGATGTTGAGGCTCTAGAAAGAGTGCAGAGAAGAGCAACAAAGAGGATTAGGGGATTGGAGGCTAAAACATATATGTCTAGTTTAATGAAAAGAAGGACTAGGGGTGACATGATAGCGGTGTTCCAATATCCAATATGTGAGGAATGTAGCCTATTTTTATTTAAAACATCACGTGCAATTTAGTTTAGGGATTTCCCTACGTAGACAATAAAGTCTTCTGCTGCTACTGTAAAAAGATTGGGAGATGTATCAACCATCTAATTGATATTTTTAATGAAACTTTGTTTTTGAATGGGGATTGCACTATCGCTTGTGAATACTTTGTGATAATCTGATTTAGTACTTCATCTTTTTCTTCCTTCTCTCACTCAACTGATATATTCAAGTTTCTTCTTCTGGCAATTACTTTATCCAATTGTCTGTTCTCCCCCTTAACTTTGTATGCCATTCTTTCATGATGTTAAAAGGCAGGCTTTTATTTGTAAGCATATCCTACTCATCCATTCCTCCTGCAAATCATTCATGTAGTCATTTCTTATCTTTTTAAACATTGTTATGTGTGTCTCTTCTGTCCTCTTGCAGCCGTATGCTCAGCCTGCTCCTTGGGCCATTCTAACAAGTATGTCTTTTATTACATGTGACGGTACCATCCAGATTGAAAGCAAAATGAATGGAGATGGGTCTTCCCAAAATAACTTTCCAGAGAAACATTGGGAGTTTGGGATATGGGAAGGTAATGGGGGTGGTTTCAAGAGACAGTTGCTTATGGGGAAATCTTTGAAAAACCCAACTCTTAATGCTATGAACTTCTGCTGATTGGGCAACAAATAGAACCTTTAAAAATCAGGACACGTGGATTCCAATAGCTGCTAGAACCTGAAATCAAAACTGTTTGTTAGCACATCAGGAAACATCTCTAAGTAAAAGGCTCATATGCTAATGTAGATATCTTGCTTGAACTGGTTTCTCCATATCAGGATATTTTAGAATAAATTGGATTGCAATACCCAGTCCATTAAATCAGTCCATTTACATGTGAGTCATATCGCAAAGTTTGCAGTCAGAATTCCTATTTGCTTTATTTTGCTTTTCCATGCTGCATCAACTTCTTACTGTCAGGTTTCCAAGTAATGAAATCCATGTTAAAAGAAAAATAACAAAGTCCATGTTCAAAAAGTTTTCTTTTATTTAGGAAAGCATCAAATTGGCAAAATCCATGGTAATTCTGGATCTGACCCAACCCAGAATTACCCCACAATATTAGAAGTTTCTCCAATAGAAGTAATTCAACATTGCTTGATATCATAAATCTCCACCTCCAGGGGCCCAAGCGTGGACAGCTCATTTCTCACAGGAAGAAAGATCACCTAGTCATAACACTCTCTTTTATCTCCACTCTTCCCCCCTTAGGAACGTGTCAAACCCGAAACCTTTCCCCCCATTACTGCCACAGAGAAAATAGGAAAAAGAATATATACTGACAAACTAAAATGGCTACACTTATGTCAATTTTGGGCTTGACACATTGATATGAGAACAATTGGATTGTTATCCAAAGAATTTAGACTGTATTTATTAAAAGAGGTTATAGTATTTATTAAGAGATAATGAATTAGTCCTAACAGTTTATTATTTTTACAGCAAAGATTATGTGGGTTTTAGTTGGGTCCTTATTCTTCTTCCAAGTTCCCACAGAAAAGAACAATGGATCCTTCTGGAAGATTCTCTTGCACAGCTTGTCATCATTTCCCTAGGTTGGTTCCGGAGAGAAATAAACAAACACATAAATGCTATTTTGAAGCCAACAAAGCTATACTTTAAGTCAGGCCTTTAAATGGTGCCTTTAAGATGTGGAAGCCATTTTCAAAGGGGTTCAAGTAGCAGCCCTTCCT